TGACATCCATACTGTACACAGGTAAGTTGGGGAACTAGGGATCGAGCCCTGGGATCTGTCTCAACTACCACGAATTGGTGAATACCGTTTCAATTGATTCGAATCTAGACTAGATAAGGGATAATGACTGGGGGTCGTATTGAGGTGGAGATGGTATTTGGCCCAATGGTAGGCTAGATAGAGGGATTAAGACTGGGCGTCGTATTCAGGTGGAGATGGTAGGGTGCCCAAGCGACGAGGGAGACAGGAAGTGAGGCAGAGAGTAGCCAAGTCAGGTTGATACTTCGTCTCCAGCAGGGGCAACAGATTAGGCGGGAACGCGAGACGAGGCAAGACATCGTGGCGAAGTTTGCGAAAGATACGTTGGGAGACGGGAAACTTGGGACCCTTGAGGGGAATCTTCTCAGACGTGCGTGAAGGCTGGTGGCGCAGGAAGACGGACATGGGAGCCCACTGGAGGAAGCCCGCTCACAATCGGATGACATAGCAGCCCGGAGCGTTAGCCTGGCATCGGAGTAGACATCACAGCTGGCAAGATGAGGGTCACAATAGATTACATTGGGCGCCTTCTCTGCCAGCGGGGTCGTCGTACGCACCAAGGACTTCTACAGCGTTACGTGAAATACAGACGGCTGTCCAGCCCGGCCGGCAGGCCGCATTAGGACGGGCTTTCACACGGCCCGGACGAGCGACACCCTAGGGTATCCTGGGCGGCCAGCGCTGTGATTGTGCTGAGGATGATTTCACGGACGACGGCCCCGGTTTAGGGTTTAGGGTTCAGGAGCAAGTAGGAGGCAGGATCCCTATCTCTATTGCAGACACAACGGTAGCCAGAGGCAAATAGACCCCGGTGTCGGCTCATCTTCAAGAATAAATCAATGAGGCTAATCAATGCCATCCACTCACGCCTCCCATCCGTAACGGCAAGGAGCGTTGGGTGAGTACAAGTCGTATTTCTTTCGACTTGCCGGTGGCCTAGGAACCGGCCTGTTGTTCCCCGTAAGGTTCCGTTTTTGTACCCAAAAGAAACAAGAAGGAAAAAAGAAAGAAAGAAAAAAAGAAAGAAAGAAAAAAAAAAACTTAAAAAAAAAAGAAAAAGAAAGACAGGCATGCTGCTTCTGCTCCAACAAACAAACAAACAAACAAACAAACAAACAAACAAACAAAAAAAAAAAAAAAAAAAGGATGCATCTGTTCCAACTTCCAACCTGGTAGATGACAACTCTTTCAACAACCCCATGCTTGCCGCATTCTTCGGTAACCTGCACGATCAGCCAATAATAATAGCAGAGTTCACATTACTAGCTAATTATTAATTAATTCATAAATTTTATTAAAAAAAAAAATCTGAAAAAAGGCACATCCACTCATCGAGAGTCGAGACAATCAGCATGGTCGACCAATAGACTGGATGCAACAATAGAGTGTATGCTACCTAATAAGGTAAATCGGAATAGTCCCTAGAACCGGCGTGCCAAACCCACACAGCTAACATTACCTAATCAGGAAAAGAGAGGAACATCTGCTCAATGAAGTAGATACACGGAGCATCTTATACCGACCACGAGTACGTCCTTTTTTTTTTTTTTTTCCTTATCAGGTCATGTTAACTCTATTGGTCTAAATCTGGTCAGTTCTTCAACTTATTCTCGTCGTATACTACTCTGTTACTATGGGGGACAAGCACCATCAGGACCATCAAAAAAAAAAAAAAAAAACACAGATATCTTTCCTGCACCTGGATGGTATTATGCACATGTGACAGATCACAAATTTGACTTGAAATTTTTTAAATCCTGACACATAGCTAATTCTTTGGGCTACCCCCATAATCCATGGGAATGCTGAAAAAAAACACGAAAGAAAGAGAAGTGACAACTGCCTGAACACCCGATAATCCAGGGGGGCATCTACCCGATGATACATGCACTTCCGGGGGGAAAATAAAAAGGACGAAAAAGAATGTCCGTCTGGACATCCGTTAAAATGGGAAAGATAGAGAGAAGATATAGCATGACCCCGTCTGTGCAAGTTTTTTTCATTTTTTTTCATTTTTTTTTTTTTCATTTTTTTTTTCATGTGCAAGGTTGACATGCATAAACTGAGAATTGGTTCAGGAATCGGAACTCAAATTAAAAGAAAAAAAGAAAGGGAGCATGGCCCCCAACCCCTCCATTCTAGCCACCCCTCCCTCCATTCCCTCCCCCCATACTCAAAACCATTTCTTTAAGAGAATCGTAACATACTAAACACCAATAGTTTGCGCTTCCCAAAGAATCACAACCCCCCCCCCCCCACCCACTAAAAACTTTGGCACCACTCATCAACAAGCATCAGGAAGGCTGCAGCTAAGGGCCCATGCGGGTTTAGGGTTGATGAAGCGGGGACAGCTGGCAGTGGTAAAGCCAGTTCGAGGTTCTCTAGGGTTCATGGCATACTTGCAAGCGGACGCCGTTCGGGCGGCTCCGCACGTGCTGCAGACCGCCGGACCGGAACCGCGTGGCGCACGAATGTGTGCCCGACGACCAGTTACGCCCCCCCCCCCCCCCC